AGGGGGGGAATTACCTTCTCGAATTTGCAAAGGGGCAATTCCGATTGGTATTGAAGAACTTCAAAACCGTCAAGACACATGGCGTCCAGACTATTGACTTGCCTACTCGAACCAACAACGTGATAGCTGAGAGTCTTCAGGTTTTCCCTCGAAAGTATCTTTTGAGCCGCATGAGGACTCCCGACGCCCCAATGTCCAAAAACTACCTCACTAAGTTCTGCGGGTCAATCTTTCCTGACGCCAACATTGGTACTTGCTTGCTTCGTAAGATCTGTGTCTCGAATGCTATGAAAGATGCTCCCAGTTTGGCCGAAAGGGACGCTCTGGCAAAATCCATGCTTCATACATCCTTGATTGCTCAACATGTCTATGAAAAGAAGTACCTTCCGGATGGAAGCAAGATTCAATTCTAACGGTTGGATTGCTTTCCATTCGATTGAGTTGCATCATGGAACCCTACTAAACTATTGAAGCATTTTTGCAACGTCTGGCAAACGTTCATGATACCTCAATGCCTGCAAACGCTGACAATGTGTAGACTGGTGTTTCAGCTTGATTTATATCAGAGGGCGAGACATCAAAGCCCGCGTTTGCCAAACGGATCAGCGTCTGTCTGTGGAACCTCTTTGTGTTGCCTTCAAGGAAGCGCTTGTACGCCTTCTGCATCAAAATCTTTTCAGAATTGCGATTATAGTACGCCTTGACATGAGCATTGTGCCTCTCGGGGTGCATTTGCTGATATCGTCGATGGTTCTCACAAGCACGGCATGAGCATCGACGTTGGGTGGCGTCCTTGAAGCTGGCGGAGTCCTCATGGAACATGTTTTGTCCTGCAATGTAGCTACGAAAAAAAGAAACACTCGCACAAATAGCCGCGTTCAAAACATTGTTTTATTTTCTTGACGACTGACTATAGAAAACAATGGCTGAGCACGGCAAGCACGAATTTCATGATGGCTCTAGGGCCTTGGCCCCCCAAGAGACTAAGGCCCTAGGGCCCACGGGCATCAAGGACGAGGTTAAGCGCTTGGCCGGTCTTGGCTACTACGGAATCCCGGTTCATGTCACACAAAAATCAAACGGTAAAAAGAGCACCCGATTTCCCAACAAGTGGGAGCACATAAAGACTCCGCAAAGCTGGAAGGAGAACATCCAGGGCATACTCGATCAATTCGTCGATCCAAACGGCATTGCAATCCTAACGGGTCCAAGCAATCTCTATATTATCGACGTTGACGTGGACGGAGATGACAAAAAACCGTCCGGTATGAGCCTCTGGAAGACGTTGGTAGCCGAACACGGACAGCCGGATACCTTAAAAGTGATCTCTGGAAGGAATGGCCTGCATCTGTACTTTAAAAGAGATCAAACTATTGGCTTGAAAAAGCTGAACAACTTCCAAGGTTTGACATTGAAGAATGTGAGCTATACGCTGGATGGACGCGGGGTTGGCGGTGTGATTTTCGCGCCACCGACGGCCTATAGCGCAAACGGCAAGCTATTTCAATACAGATGGGTTTCGGAGCCGGTACAAGGTGAGAGGGGGGATGTAAAAGGGATCCCCAGATGGCTTGCAAATGTCATCAATACCGGACGTGACAAGCAACCGGCCGGTCCGAGCATTGCCTTGCCAAATACTATCCAAAGCGACCACACACACGCTCGCAATGAAGATTCCCAGCCGACAAATGGCGAGCGCGAACTAAGCAGCAATCAAGCCGCCGGCTTCAAGATGGATTCAGCAGCTGTACGTGAGGTGCAAGAGTTGCTACGCAAACACGCTGCGAACGACTCGACCGCACTCTATGGCGGCTCAACGACGCTCCCAAATGGCAATCGATCCTTTCAGTTTCGCGTGAAAGGGCCGAGGACTTGCTATCTTGGAAGCAACCACAATGGTTCGAACAACTTTACGGTGATTCAAGGATGCGCTGGGGACTTTCAAGAGGTCTACTATCGATGTTTTGGAACGGCATGTTCCGGCCAGAGCACCAAACTTCTTGGAAAGTTGAGCATCGCCGCAGCTTTTGAGCAAGTGGGGGTGGTGGAGTTTGGAATAAGAGATGGTGCGGTGAGTTGTGCAAGCACGTTAAATGCACGGCTGCCTCATCCGTTCTTGGAGGCAAATGTAGGCCGGAGCGACTGGGGTGCCGCTTCGATATTTGCCAACCTCTTCGAGCACGACAGGCGCGTAGTCTATGATGCGGGGGTGTTCTGGACGTGGAATGGGGTGGCGTGGGTGCAATGCGATTCAGACGCCACGGAGATCAAGAGCGCTTTCATGTACCACATGGGTAGAGTGAAAGCGTATTGGCTCAACAATCTAACGACTATGTGTAATGAAGAGCTCGACAAGGCCAAATTAACAATGGCTGCAGGGTTGGAGAGTCTTCGAGCAGCTCAAGAGCATGCGGAACAGCTGTCGGAAGAAGACGTTCGCAAAAAAAAGAGCAATGAAAGGGCGATCTTGAAGGCCTTTCAGCAAAGTAAACAAGGTGCAGAGAAGATGACCAAATGGCATGGGCCCGATGTGGAGTCGGTACCAATTGCAAGCCGATGCATCGTCCCATTGAGACGTCTCCTGAGGGTCAACAATTTTGCCAAGGAGCTCAACGCAGCTCGAGATTTCTTAAACACGACATCCGGCGCAGTACACCTGCCGACAGTTCAATTGATACCTCACCATCCCCGTAATACTATGCTCTCAAAAGAGTCTTCAACCGAGTACGAGGGACCTACATACCCGTCTCCGTTGATCGACGAATTCATGTTGCAGGTGCAGACTGCAGAAATCATCCCCATACTCCAAATGACACTTGGATACGGCATCACGGGCCATAGCAAAGAAAAGCAATTCATAATCATGTACGGGCCATCCAATTCAGGCAAGACGAGGCTCGTCGCAATGCTCTCAGGGGCAATCGGCCCATATTGCGTCACCATGGATAGAGATTGCGTCATCGGGGCCGGCTCTCGCTCGGAGGGCGCAGCAACGCCGCATCTTGTGACGCTAGAAGGCGCGCACGTAGCCGTCTTAGAGGAGACCAAGGACGAAGACTCGTATAACGCTGCAAACCTCAAGTCCATTGCCTCTGGCAATGGAGCCATGACCGTTCGGGGGCTGCACATGAAGCCGATCGAAGTCAACATGCGTTGTCTACCTATCATCTGCACAAACGCTCTTCCTAAGTTCAATGTAAGCGATTCGGGGACACTGAAGAAGCTTCGCGTCTTTCCATTTACTCGCGAGTTTGTCGATAAGCCTCGCCCAAACACGAACGAACGGCTTATTGATTCCGACTTGGTCGACAAGATCAACACTTCAGAGTGGAGAAAGCAGATGCTTGCTTGGCTTGTTCGCGGAAGTATGGCGTGGTATGCAAAAGGCGGCCTTCCGAATGTGGAAGAGCTACCTGAAGCCATGCAACGTGCTCTCGACGGCTATATAAAAGCCAACGACCACTTCAACAACTTTATCGTGGACCATTGTATCCTTCGTGAGGGCAAGGTGTGTCATGTAGACGTTCTCAAACAGGCATACGAGAACTATATTGGAAGACGCGACCGTCCCATGATCGTAACAGAGTTCAAGGTCCTCATGAAAGGCCTGAAGGGTGTCACTTATGAAAAGCAAATCAAGTTGCGAGGGCGGAATACAACCGGGTACAGAGGCATATGCTTAAGTTACGCCGCTGATGACGCGGAAATCTCAAAGGACTGAGGCCGATTGGCTGGTCTCCCAATTTTGCGCATGATTCTTGCGGACATGCATCATGTTCATGGCATGTTACATGCATGCTAGCAAAGGAGGTAGGTGGGGGGTAGGTATGGGGTAGGTGCTTCAAAAACCAGTTGTTTTGGAATAACCTAAGGGTTAATAATTAAAAGGTAGGTAAAGTAGGTATATATATTATATATTATATGAAAATTGTTTTCAAAATGCATCATCGTGACGTGTAAAACAAACAATTCTCTTCGAGAGCAAGCGGGCGCCTACCTACCTACTTACCTACCTCAAATTTAAGTGTATCGACCTTTCAACCCTGCTTCACCAATTGCTTCACATTAGAGCGACCTACCCCCCAAACCTACCTGCTCCAAGGATCGCTCTTTTAGGATCGAAAATTTAATGTCAAATCGACCATCTTCCGTGGCCGCACCTACCTATCCCCGGAGCAGCACCGCACAGATTGCAATCGACCACACATGCACTCGCAGCAATTCCCACGCCTAGCTTTGCATCATCCACCCGCTTCAGCCCAGCATTGTAGGCATCGAGGAGAAGCGGGAGGATCACCATAAAGCTTTCAAGCCCCGAGTACCAGCCGAGAGACCGAAACCCCTTCAGAAAGGAGTTGACAGACTCCACGGCCGATGTGTTGACCCAGCGAAGCGAGTCGTAGCTGTCCGCGGAGTTGCTTGGCCCACACTTGTGGACCTCGGCGCCTGCCTTTGCGTAGTGAAACCTGCGAGCCCCACACAAAACGTGTACATGAGCATCAATGTTGTGGTTCAATACCCAACTCCAAAGAGTCACAAGCTCCAATGTATCACCTGCTCAAGTCCATTGGCGATATAGATACACATGTACACGTCCTCCATTCCTTGCTCAAGCTCACCTGTCCACCACGAACCGTACATTTGCAAAGTGCGCCGGTGCGCGTCTCATACAATAGTTGCGAAGGGCGCACGCGTTGTCGTAGACCACCACCTCCGGGAGATCCTCGCGCCTCAATCGCGTGTACAGAACCGCAAATGGGTCCCGTGGGCTTTCGCCTCGAAGCATGACATGGAAGCCGTAGATCACCCGATGTGGACAGCAGAACACGAACACACCCCTGCTTCGAGTGGGCCGCTTTGCAGCGCCCCCCTTCTTGCCTCCTTTCCCTCCCCCCTTCACGAGGCCGGGGACGTTCTCAGAGTCCCAATCCGTAATAGACTTTCCCGTCGCACACTTGAACTCTTCCGAGCTTCGACTACGACCATCCGAGTGCTCAAAGCTGCTGTATTGTGGCAGGCCTCGCTTTTGCTCCCACCCCGGAAAGCTATAGTGCGCCAGCGCGTCTTGCTCGGCTCTGAAGGCGTGTCCCTTTGGCAATGGATGCAACTCAACCCCCTCCTCGTCGCGCCCCAAACGGTCCCAGAGCAAGGCCCTCTGCCTCTCGCTCATCGAGCGCCATTGCTGTGGGCTTGGACTCAAGTTCTCGACGCCCGGAAGGAGCTCGTTTGCCAGAGCGCGCGCCTTTTCCAAACGCCCGCTCTCCTCTTGCGACAGAGGTCTCTCTCTCGCCTCACGCAGCAGCCAAACGGCCTCGTCAAACGGCCGGACCGCTTGGTAAACCCACCCAAACTCCCCTTCCAACTTCGAACCCTGTCGTCCCTCTTGCGGCAAGCGTTAGAAGGTACAGCTGATGGAGGGTCCCCATGAAGAACGCAGGGAACGTGAGCCCTCCGTATGCATCAAGGATCCGCCTCAGGATCGGGGCCGCTCCCCCCATTTGCCGCCGGTCCTCGAGCGAAGCCTCGCCCCCGAGAAGCAACTTGTGGATCACGCCGAGAGCGGCCCCTCCGATCAGATCCTCGTCCGAGTCGTGGGCCCCCAACGAGTAAAGCAACTCGGTCCACTCCCCAACCCAGCTCTCCCAGAGGTTGGGATTCATCCCTCTCGCCTCAAAGTCCGCTTGGATGCCCCTTAGGAGCTCGTAAACCGCAAGGTTGCGGTCCCTCACCATGGTTCGCTGCTCCGTCAGCAGGCGCCTCTTGCCGTCCTCCGGGAGTGGACCCTCAGCTTCGCCCGGACCGATGCATTTCACCACGCGAGGGTCCTCGTGCGCTAGGCCGTTCAAGAGGCTCGTAAAGCCCGCTTTCGACAGCCTTGGCCCGAGCTTCTCATCCTTCGGTCGATGCTGCGACAGGCGAGCAATTGCGTCTCGTAGCTCAGGCTGAAGGAGAAGCTTTCGTTTCATCCCCGCTCCTTCCAGACCCGCCCCGCAATAGTCTCGACCAGAGATGGACCGCTTCTCAAGCAGCTCCCCAGTCGCTAACCGACTCGGATGCACCATTGTTCGTCGAGCATCTAGAGTTGTGCTGCCGAGACCCCCCGGCTTTCTTCCCCCATCCGAGTTGGCAAGCCCCACGATCCCGTCGCAAAGGAGAACCTGTGTATGAACAC